CCCCTCCCCCCCCCAGTCCCCAGTCACTGAGAGATAAGACAGACAGATATATGAAATGATGTGTGCACTTCTGGACTTTGGTGCCTGTTAAAAAGCCCCCAGGCTGCAACTGTTTAACTGCAGAGGCTTCTCAGCTCCATCGTTCCTATAGCTCTTACTTAAAATATTACCGCTGGTCTTTCCTCTTCCTTCTTTTTAAAGAGTACAGAGCAGGTCGCTGCTTTCTGTCGCAGTCTGCATGAAATGAACCCTTCTGATTCAAGTGCTCATCCTCAGGAATTTACAGGACCCCAGCTGGCCACCATGAGACAACTCACAGATGCAGATAAACTGCGAAAGGTTATCTGTGAACTTCTCGAGACAGAACGCACCTATGTCAAAGTAAGGGTTCTTGATGTGTTGTTTCAGTCTACTAATACTTCTCCTCCTGGAAAATTTTGTTAGTTTCTTCTCTAATACTTCAAATTATGTTTCATGCATGTATCTCTTAGTTAACTTACATTCAATCTACAGTCTGTCCCTAGAATAGTAACTTAAACCTCTGAAATAAGTAGGCTTTCCAAATTCTTATGCTGTCATTTTGAAATTACTTAGCTGGTGTGCAGAGGAACACTGCTCAATGAGATCCGGTACTGATTTTGTAAGTAAAACTGTGTAAATGTTTCCTTTTACTATCTTAAATTCTGTGAAATCCAACTATTTTTCTCATGTGTGAAAGGGAAAAATTCATAGACTAGGTAAACGGTGATCTTTGCCACTTCAACAAATATTCAGAGGCAGTTTGAGGAACCAACATGGGAATCTTTTTCTGAATTTTTAGGACTTAAATTGTCTAATGGAGAGATACCTGAAGCCTCTACAAAAAGAAACGTTCCTCACACCAGATGAGGTATGTTAGCTGTTGCTTATCTTTTTGCTAGATAGCTTATGCACACCCCTCGGCTCTGCCCACCCCTCGGATTGACTTGCTTGTCTGAGCAAGGGCTATGGAGAAATTTTGAATGCCATTTCTTTTAAAATAATGGATTGAGTAGAGCATAAAGGTACTGCTCAATAATGTATAGTCTGTAGGGTTTTTTCCTGACATCACACTGATTATACAATTGGACTGAGAATTACTGAAGTTCTAGAAAACGTGATTTAGCTTTTCAGCATTTTGCTTTTTTTTCTCCTATTAGCTGGATGTTCTCTTTGGGAATCTGACTGAAATGGTAGCATTCCAGGTAGAGTTCTTGAAAACACTCGAAGATGGAGTAAGGCTGGTTCCAGACCTGGAAAAGCTTGAAAAAGTTGAGCAATTTAAGGTAATCTCATTGTTTATATTCTGAGTAATCCTTTAACACTCATCGTTGTATTTGTCTGACTGCTGTCACTGTTCATGTAAAAACCTACATCTACTTACACTCGAGATTAATTTTTAGCTAATACTGGAGCTGTTTGAAAAACATCCTGCTACAATTGTGGTTTATGCTACATTTAGCCATGTAGAGCACTAGAAATCTGTAACGCCACGTGCTTTTAGATGCTATTCTTGCCCTTCTGCCAGATTTCTTGTCTCGGGCTGTCAGGAAAAGCTAGAAATGGAAAGTTACATAAAATCTTTTTTCTGACAAGTCTAATGTTCAGAAACCCACTAGGGCTACAGATCAGAACTGTAAATTGAATTCTGTATTTGGGCTTTTGATGCATAGCGGAACTATATGGCATATACTTCCAGCTATCAGCAGATGTGCATCAGAGGTAGAAATGTAAACTAAAGATATATAAACTTCATTTTAAAAAAATAGGAAAATGTGGAAACAGAAATTTTGTTTTATTTCTAATGCAGTCATGTACTGAATATATGGCAAGTAACTAATACAATGTTCTGTCTTTGGGGAATTTTACTCTTGCTTTGAGCACTCACCTTGGTAGAGGACAGGGTGTCTTGGCAAATAATAATAATTCCACTGAGATTGCTCTTCAGCTAACATACAGCCCTGGAAGAACTACTGAAAGAATTTGTCTTTTTGTGCATGTGTGGCTTTGCCATCAGGTGCTTGTTTAAAATAAGCATCAATCGTACTGGAATACAGCTGGCATAACTGGAACACAGCTTTTGTTTTGTAGGAAATGTGCCCTTAATGGAGAGCACAGAGACGTTTTAGTAGAAGAAGCCTCTGTGACCACTGTGTGCTCTGAGCTTTAAGAGAGGAGTGTGGAAGAAGCCTCCTTATGGAGAGAACTCTGTCTTCTGAGTGCTGCTGCTTCCATCTCTTTCCATAAAACATGCACCAACTTCACTTTCAGTTCTGTCCTATGGGCATAGTCTGAAAGCAGTGTACAAAATGGGACTTCAGGGCTTCATGGTTTCAGTTCTGCAGTTTGCTTCCCTCTGCTGACTGTAGGCAAGCTGCCTATGTGTTGTCTCCTCCCCCCCGCCCCCATGTTGTCTTGTTCCTAAGTGGGTAGCGGAGCAAATACTTGACCGTGGCATAGACATCTTAGGGGAAGATTGTGTTTGGCCCTTAATACGAACTCATTTTCAAGAGAGTGAAGACCTCGGTGTGATTGTGCAGAGGGATAATAGTCTTGCTTGCAGTTCCTTAGTGTCTTGATCCATTACAAAGTCAGATACATCCAGTCCTTTCTGTGGCCTCTGGTCATTACTTAGATCAATAAGGTTTTAAGCTCAGGCATTTAAGTACAGTTCTGGAGCTGTGAACTTACTTCCCTCTATAGTCAGTGGTGTCTCCAGATCACCCTAACTGGAACTTGGCTAATGATGTTAATCACATAGCCTGAATACAGACAGCAAGGCTAGGCCTGTTTCTTGCTAGATGGTCTTGTCATGCAAAACCTAAATGGAAACTTCAGGTGACCTGGCAGGAGGGAAAATAGCTAACTGGCTTCCATGTGCTTTTTTCCCTAATGCCTTTTTCTTTTTTTTTTAATCCTAGAAAGTGTTGTTTTCCTTGGGTGGATCCTTTCTTTACTATGCTGACCGGTTCAAGCTGTACAGTGCCTTCTGTGCCAGCCACACGAAAGTCCCCAAAGTACTGGTGAAAGGTAAGAGCTGTGTGCTGGACAAACAGACCTGGGCATGCAGAGAGAGAGATGTTGCAGCGACACGTTGGTTTGGGCTGGTGCAGGTTGTCCTTTTGGATGATGAGAGGTGACCACTGCACCCCAAACCATGCAGGGTAAGTTGTGGCAGAGGAATAGGGGCACACACGTGCCTGGGTGCCCTCCAGGAGCCTTCGCAGCAGGGAAGTAAGTCCATCTGGCCTGAGAGGCTCACAGAGAGCTCTGTGCCATGGGTATTCTTGGACCACCGTCGATGTAATGATATCTGAGTAGCTCATTACAAGAGGTCATTAACCTAGTTTTTCCCCACACACTTAATTTATTCTCCTCTGGCATGTTCAGTTTCTTTTCAGTCATGTGGGGAGTGGAAAGATTTCATAAATGGGCGATGTGACGTGTGCTAATGGATAACTGTGTACTTTGGAACCAGGAGTGGTGACACTTGTAATGACCTCTGGATCTTCCTAGAGTTTGTGCCGTGAATCCTTGCTAGTGGCAATCCCACTGAAGCTCCGGCCAATGTGGTTGAATGCTGACAGCCACTAGGAGAGGATCAGCCTGGGAGAAAGTTTAATGGAAGCTGTCTAAATATTTTAACTTCACCAAGCTCTCTCTCCCCTCTCTTCTTTCTCTCACCTTTGTTCCAATTTGCCTGAGAAGTTTCCACGTATGAATTCCTACTAGAGCTTGGCTTGCTGAGATGGAGATAAACGAACTGTGGTCTGGCTTATAAATGCTCATGGGCCTCCTTGCCTTGGAGTTTTTTCCCTTATGAAAGTGTTAATCTCTTAGAGTTAGCAGTGCTTCATGCAATTCATTTTTGGCCAAGACATTAAATAAACAAATGGTTCCACTTGTAGGAGCAATGCCATTAAGGGAGAAGCTCTTGTTTTTTAAAGAACACTTGGATGCCTGACAATCAAAGATTTTGGGGGTTTTTTTTTCTTGGTTGGTTTGGGGTTTGTTGTGGTTTTGGTTTGGTTTGTTTTTTTTTTTTTTGCTATGCACATTTTTTTTCATTTCTACTTGTAAACTCTTATTTACCATGCTGCAAAGAATACTTGGCAGCTCTGTGGAATACATGAATAAATGATTTGTTGCTAGTCACATCCATGCTTTCTTTTGGCATCATTTTGTTAGACCTTAATGTTAAGGCTGTAAACTAGGTAGATCTGGTTGTTTTGTGTTGCTTTTTCATTGCTGACTGTATTTATAAATAAGAAACTGTTGTGCTTGAACTATGGCACAAATAGAACTTAAAATTTTATCGCAGTGATAAATCTCTTAAAAAGCCTGGGAGCGTATTTCAAGTGTAATTTGGCGTCCTTGGCTGAGGTGCAGGTGGCTTTTGGATTTGAAACCAAAGCTGCTTTATTGAAATCAGGTGACTGTCTGCAGAAAAACCCACCCAACCTCGGCAGGGGACATAGCTCTAATAAAAGCAATTGTGTAGCATTGTTCCTGCACTGAAGAACTTGTATGTCTAAAAATGCCACCTGCTCCATACTTCCCTCCCTGTACAAATTTATGTTCTAGTAGAGGGAGCAACAGAGAAAATGGTATTTTTATAAATTCAGTAGCAGTCAGGTAGAAAGATGATAGCGATCAGGTGTCCAGTCTGCCTGTGCTCCCAAAATATGGTGTACTATCATAAGTTTACTGCTTCCTGCCTCCTTACTAGCTCTTGTTTTTTGTTGTTGTTGTTCAGTACTGCATTTTAAGGTTTAATGAGGTAACAATAACCAGACTCTCCAATATTATAACTGTACCTGTCAGACTAGACTCGTGAGTAGTGACTTCTTACAAATATTCAATTTGAGCCTTTTCTTAAAGGAAACAGATGATTAAAACAATTTATGCTGCTCTAAAATAGTTGCAAGGCGAGAAATACTGTGGATAGTGAAATTAAAAACTGCATGTATTGGTATGGTAGGTGGGTGTGCTTGTTGTTAAATCATAAATAGCGTATCTGTGGCAATGTGTCAGTAACTCAAAACCTGAAGTGCATAAATCTAATACTGTGGACCTGATAAATCTGCACTTCCTTGCAAAATGTCTCTGGATAATTGAATTTAAAGCTGGAAGTCCCTTTATCAGGGTAGCTGTTATGATTTTTGATTTATCCAGTTGCTTCATTTTAATCTTCCAGCCAAGACAGACACTGCTTTCAAGGCATTTCTGGATGCTCAGAATCCCCGACGGCAGCACTCCTCGACGCTAGAGTCTTACCTCATCAAACCCATCCAGCGGATACTGAAATACCCTCTGCTGCTGAAGGAGCTCTTTGCTCTGACTGATGTAGACAGCGAAGAACATTATCACCTTGATGGTAAGGAGCTAACCTATGTTGCTCTTCCCTGTTTAACCTCTGATTTGGAACCCTCCTCCTCCCACTTCCTCTCAGAGGCTTAAAAATACCTTTGTCTCTTCCCCTATCTCTCTGTCTTTCTTCTAGTGGCCATAAAAACAATGAACAAAGTTGCCAGCCACATTAATGAAATGCAGAAAATCCATGAAGAATACGGGGCAGTGTTTGACCAACTCATAGCAGAACAAACAGGGGATAAAAAAGAGGTAACAGATGATCAAATTTAAGAGAAGAAGTCTGTTATGTTGGTGCCTGTAGCGTGAATGTTAAATTGTATCAAATATTTACCTTTCGTGCTGTGTCATTTAAGTGGATCCTGGTGCAAACAGATAAATCCCAATCCAATTCAAAAACTGCTTTTCCGTGTATGGTTCAGTGAGTGGGACCAATGTAAAGAAGTAGTGGGTTAATTCACCTTCAATGTTGTGCTTGGGTCAAAATCGCATCCCAACCTGCAGTTCACTATTTTGATCTCCATGTCTTGGCTCTCCTCATTCCACATAAATAATCTCGCCTCACCAGTCTGAGTGGGCTGGCATGCTGAGGCAAGTCTGTACTTAGCTCTTTAACCACTTTAAAGAGATCAAAATGTGAGTTGCGGCGTGTGAGAAACTGATCTTTCTCTTTTAGAAAGTGTGTTAGTGGGCTTGATATGAGAGAGAGCCTTGGGCTTTGGTCTAGATGTCTCATATGGTGCATATGCAAACACGTGAAGATCCAGTGTGGCTCAGTCCTGGCTGACCATCTCAGAAACCTGTGGAAGGTGTCTTGAAGTTTCAGACTGAGATCTGGACTCTCCATTTACCATAAAACGTAGGTCTGCTGTTCAGCGGCGCAGTGAAGGAGAGTGGTGGGCAGCAAGAGGGAATGGAGTAAGGTCGAGAGGGACTCAAGGAAGAGGTAGAGACACACTAAAGGACTGATGGGAGCAGTGATGTGGGTGAAGGCTGGAGGGAGACATGACCATATGAAGGAATGGTAATGGAGTTTTGCCAACAGCCAGGATGAAGAACAAACATAAGAGGCATTGGCTACAAGGTAAAGGAGGTCTGGGATTGAGTAGTGTTGAGGAAGCTTTGGGTGTGAGAGCTGGATAGCAGCAGTGGGGAAGGAGGATCAGATGGCGAGTAGAGGGCAGAGACTAGGTTGGTGCTGGCAAGCAGCGGTGGAGAGAGCGTGTCAGGACATCTATTGGGTGAGCAATCGTGGTTTGGTGTTAATCTGGGAGAGGAGACACATATCTTAGTGTTGCTCTTGTAGGTTGTTGTGCTGATGGTATCCGTGGCGTCCTTTGGCAAAAGCCAGACTTCACTGAGACGAGGGTGGAGGAATGGGATAACATGGCCCCTAGACTGGGGATAGCCCTCAATTTTCCACTCTGGGAGACCATAAGTCAAAGTGAAAGATCCGGTTGCTGCCATATTAGTAGGCATCTTCCAACAGTTGTTATGAACTCCTTTATTAGTCCATTTCCAGCAATGTGATTTCCACAGATGAGCCTTTTGGGTGAAATCAAGAGCCATAGCAACTCTGGGGAGGAAGTGCTTTGACTGCTTCACAGGATGCGGTCTCCAAACTGTGTGTGTGATGAGGGCTATGCTTAAATGTTCAAACAAAATAGAAAGAAACTGGTAGGGAGAAAGATGGACAAAGGAGAAAAAAATGCAAGGAAAACATCTGGGTTTTGCCCTGACTTCCCACCAAATTATAAGAGCCGGACTCTGAGTTTGACTTCTCCTAATTTATGCTCTCCAATTAAGGAGTTACAGGCATCTATTGCTAACTGCCAGTCTGTTTGCACATGCTTCCAGTCATCAGATGAAATATTCCAAAAGTTTGCTTGTGGGGCATTTTTTGTTTGTTTAGGAATAAACTTCAAGCAAGTTTTCTTGAACTGAAAATTCAAGTAAGCTTTCTGGAACTGATTACACATTGTGTCTTTGTGCATACGTTTGTGTTGGCAGGTTGCAGACCTTTCAATGGGGGACTTACTCTTGCATAATACAGTGATATGGCTGAATCCTCCTGCTTCACTGGGGAAATGGAAGAAGGAACCTGAGCTGGCAGCATTTGGTTTGTACCCTAGTAATTTATTTTGGATACTGTCAACTGTGCTTTAGCAGATACTTGTTGAAGGTAGTTGAGCATTGCCTTCTGCAAGGTTGGCTGGAACTTAAAACTATATTTGTCTCTTTTCTGCAATGGTCAAATTCTGTTCTGTGTTGATCTAAAACTGGTGAAGAATTTGGGAATGACTGCTCTAATAGTGCAAGAGATTCTTAAACCCATATCCAAGGCTATGAATTGAGAGCAATATAGAAAGGTATTTGTCTCTGAAAAGATATAGTTCAGTAGTCTGATCGATGCCAAGTAACTCTACTTCACATCCTATAGTATGGGTTGGGGGCTTGCAGAGGCTTTGCCTTTTTTCTGCATCCATTTTGCCAGAAAGAACTTGTATAACTAAGCTTTAAAAAGTGCTTAAAAGCTAAGCCAGGACTTACAGTGAGTTGCTTTGGAGTGGTCTGTCCCTCCAAGTAGTCTGTCTTGGGTGGCCAAACTAGAAATTGAAACTGCTGTTGGCATAGATCTCAAGGTCTTTCCACTGCATTGAAGTATGGTCCCTTGGAAAGGTACATGATTGCTTATATTGGCTAAATTATATCTCTCTTACTTTCAGAATTATATCAAGTAATGCAGAGTGTGCTCAATTTTCTTTAATTGTTCCTAAATTTCTTTACACACAATGGGCTTTTTCCTTGTTGTTTCCAGAAAGTGATGCTGGTTAGGAAGCCAGTGATTTTTATTTTTGTTTTTGTTTTATACCAAACACATAACAAATGAAGACTCTTTCAGCTTTGCTCTGGAAAAGCATATAAAAATGACTGCTTTACTGTAAGTTGGGAAAGCACCTGGTCATACCCTGAAGCTAAGTGGCCTCATGAAAGCTGCTAGGAATGTGCAGCAACTCTTAATTACTCTAAAAATCTTTAAGTTGGTTTCATAAAATGTCCAAAATTAAGTGTCCATGCAATTCAACCTGAAAAAAAGGGTGCACTTGAGGCCTGAAGAAAGAGATCACAAGGAAAACTGGAGTCTTGAAAGACAAATTCCAGCTCTGTGTGGATGTTATGTGGCAAAAGAGGAATTGGATTACACCTCTGCCTGCCAGTGGTGCTAACTCTTTAATTCAGTATAGACCCCTGTCCCACCTGGGAGGGTTCAAATTCTGTCCAAGTGCAGGCTCATTTACTGACTGGCAGAGTGTAGCTAGATGCTGCTCATTTCTCTGAGGCGAACTTAGCCAGGGGATTAAAAGTTTTCTGAATTTTTATATAGAACCGTTGCTGTTCGAATAGTTGTTCCGATAACTGGTAACTTAAAATCACATGAAACTTAAGAGTTTGAAGTAACGTGGTTTTGTGTGGTAAAAGCTGTTGGGTTTTTTGGGAAGAATATGCAAGAGGGCTGGTAGGTTTACTCTGCCTTCCCTCCCTGACTCAGGGGAGGGCTGTCTGAGGAGTTGAAAGGTCTGCGTGCTTGGGCATAGAGGAGACCCATTCCCAACCTTACTGACTACATGGCTTTTGTTTCTAACTTTCTCCTCTAGTGTTCAAAACTGCTGTGGTCCTTGTATACAAGGATGGTTCCAAACAGAAGAAGAAACTTGTAAGTTGCATGGACTATTTTGGTGATGCTGTGTGCATTTGTGGTGCTACGATCAAGATTTGCTTTCCATAAAGCTGTGGTGCCAGAGTGTGCTTTTGCATACGTGATCCTTTTTCTCTGCCACACAGCTGAGGTTTTGCATAAAGCCAAGTGGCCTGCTGTTCAGCCTAGGCACAGTGGTCTGCAAGCGTTCATTTAGTTTATCCTTTGCTCTCTGCTGGATTAGTCATTCATGTTGCCTGCCACATCCATTCCACGCTGTGGAGTGGACTTTCATGAAACAAGGTATCACCTTGAATGTCTCTCTTGTGTTTGACTCTTTGGTCAGTGTATATGAATCAAATTTGAGAGCTGATGTCTGTCAACTTTCTTAGTGAAACACAATGCCCTCGTTTCAGTTTTGGCTGTTGCATGCCACTGAGCAAGTGCTGGCTGCTCTCAGCTAAATTAGGTGTGCCTACAGTATGTATCAGGGGACCCTACTGGAGTTTGGGATTAAAAGTTAAAGCTAAGCTTGACACTAAACACATGCCTTGCTACAATAGGGAACACAGTTTGTAGTATTACAGAAAACTACATAAACCGAAGTGTGATTTGAAGTGCTTGTATGGTTAAAGTCAACTGGCCACAAGATAACTTCGGAGTGACTAAAGTAAAACTAATGCATGTTCGTGAGTGTATGTGTACTTGGAGGAGAGAATGCAGCATTGGTCTCGAATGACTTTGGAAGGCATTGATAAGAGTTGATTAGCCTAATGGTTGCTTTTGTCTAGATTTTAGCAAGATCATCATAGATAGGCACTTCAGTGATGCTGATTACTAAGATGTTGTAGTGAGAAAATAAGAATTGCAACAAGTCTCTAGCTGGACATTCTCAGTGCAAAGCACAGGAAACTTTTGTGTCTGACTATGCCAAGGTGTCTCATTTCCTAATGGTATTTTTAAATTCTTCCAGGGAGGATCACATAGAGCTTCAATTTATGAAGACTGGGATCCGTTCCGCTTTCGTCACATGATACCTTTAGAAGCACTGCAGGTTCGAGCGTTGGCAAGTGCAGGTAATGTTCCCGCTGCGTAAATTTGGCAGAGTTCTTGATGTTTGGTCTGGGGGAGTTCGCTGACCAATGTTTGTCCTTAGTACATGTGTACGTGGTTTCTGGGGCCTGAAAAAGGAACCCACAACCTCAATATCCACAATAGCCCTGGAGAGAGATGAAGGGGCAGAAGCTTCAGTTGCGTACCTCCAGCTTGTCAGTACTTTTCTGAAGCCAGGCGGGGTTCTGGAAAAACAGGGCAAAGCTGTTGCTGACTCTGGTTCTCTCTGTTCCTCTTCTGGAGACGGGAAAGCAATCTTGCAGCTGTGAGACAACAAAGCTAGTGAATTTTTGTTCTTGTGGTTGATGGCTTCATGTGAAGCTTATAGTATTAAAAATTTCAAAATTTTAAACCATTTGCGCTCTTTTAAACCATCTTGCGCTAAGTGAAAGCAGAAGGAACATAGGAGGTAGCTGTAAAATGTGACAATACTCTACGGAATACCTGAAAAGCTGAGGCTTGATTTCTTTTTTTTTTTTTAAATTCATATTTTTATGGGGCTGGGTGAGTGCATAAAATGCTACTAGATTTTGGTGAGTTTAAGAGTCTGTTTCATTAGTCACTTGCCCACTGCTGCCTTTCAGCCATGAGTAATATTATTTGCAGTGTGTTATGTGTTGTCCTGAATAGTCTTAAACCATTTTTTCAGGATTATGGAATAAATACTCTAATTGAGATTAAATATGAGAAACTGTTATATGAAGTTCTGCTTGCTTTTCACTTTAGATGCAGAGACCAATTCTGTATGTGAGATTGTCCATGTTAAATCTGAGTCTGAAGGCAGGCCAGAAAGAACGTTTCACCTCTGCTGTAGGTAAGTGCATTTCCATATTTTCAATGGCAGCTGCATCTCTGGATCCCAGCTTGCCTATGTCTTTCCTTGAAGGCAGTCTGGGAACAGCCAGTAGGGGAAGTGGGGAGAGGGTATTAAAAGCTTACTTCCGGAAGGCAGAATTTTGTAAAATGTATTAAAATAACGGCATATATTTGATCATCCTTGCACCATTATGGGAATACCCTTATTACAATTTTCCTTTCACAAATTTACATCCAGTTAAACTCCAGCATTGGATCTTTATGCCAGGTAGCTGCTAATGTGTCGTGTTGAGTTGATACCTTTCATGCCACCAAGTTCCAACCTCTGCTCTTAGGGCATTGCCCTTTCCTTAAGTACACCTTGTCCATCTTCATTGTGGTGGTAGCCCTGATGTGTTTTACAGTTCAAATAAGAACTTGGTACTTCATCAACAGAGCTGATACCAAGCCAATTTCTACTGCTAGGTAGTAGAGAGTTGCAGGACTTCTGCTTGGTGTGTGTTTACAGGAGACAAACTGAAATTTAATTAGCCACCATAGGTCAGCTTGATGTGTATCGGACAAAGTGAAGTGCGTGGTTGGTATTGGAGGAAAAGGAAGCCTCAAGAGGGGTGAACGGCTAAATGTTTTGTTAATTTGTTTCCTTGGATGTCCATTGCAATGACTACAGATCTAGCTTTGCTTTGAAAATATTATATTAAATTGAGTCTTCTCTGAGGGAAGTGCGTGCCAGAACTGGTCATTATTTATCTCATTTACAGCAAGCTTTTAGCAGTTCCCAAGAGGTAACGCTGCCTTTTGTATTCTCGCCTATTTTTCAGTTCACCAGAACACAGGAAGGACTTTCTGAAGGCAGTGCACTCCATTCTGCGGGATAAACACAGAAGGCAGCTTCTTAAAACCGAAAGTTTGCCCTCATCCCAGCAATATGTTCCTTTTGGTGGAAAAAGATTGTGTGCTCTAAAAGGTGCAAGGCCAGCCATGAACAGGGCAGGTACTGTAGGGCTACAGACTTTCAAGATCCCAGTAACCCCAGCACCGTTGTAGGACATGTGGTGGTGTCTGTTACTTGTATATTAGGATTAGCATTCTCTCCTGTTTATGTAAAAACTGCTGGTTTTCCATGCTTCACCTCCTTGAGAGCCTTAAATTGCCTCTATTTACCTTGCTTTGCACTCAAGGCTCAGCTTCAGAGCAGTCCTTCTGGCATGGAAGGAAGAAATGGGATTCCTGTCAATACCGATTGGCTGTGCGCTTTAATCTGGAAATGGGTTTCAGCTGAACAAAGCAGAAGCCCGCTGCATATTTCTTAAAAGCATGTACAGAATTTTGAGCTAACCCTAGCACTTTTAAACTAAAATGTGCAAGAAAAATCGGCTCCCCCGAGTGAGTGGCTTGGTTTGAAGAGATAGCCTTGTATGTCCTCCATTTTAGCCTTTTCAGCTCTGTTGCTAAAGGGCACGTGCTTCTACTTCTCACATTTTGAGAAGCATGCACTTGATACTATTATTTTTGTAATGGCCTGTCCTAAACCATGGATTTTCCTTTTCAGTTGACTTCAGGCAAAAGCAATGAGAAAATCCCAGGGAAAAGCAGGTTTTCATTTTCAGACCACTAGATGATGGAGGGAAGAAACATTTGCTTCCAACTGAAAAGTACACGGCACCGCTGCGTGTTTTGTTCTGGTCTGTTACTTATTTTTTTTTTCTGCTCATTAGATCCAGCAATGTAGACAACCAGGCTTTCTGTTCCTCTTCTGTAATGGGCAGGCCAGACCAATAACATTCGCAGCATGGCTTCTCACTCGGGGTGTTGCTAGCCATCTGCCTCAGAGACACTTAAAATCGTAAGGAAGAAAAGTCCAAGGAGGGCCAAAATGCAACTGTTTTACCACAGTGCTTCTTCAATCAGCCTGTGGGGCTAATCTGCTGTAGATGCCAAACCTTCTTTCAGTTTGGCTCGTTGGTGCATTTGCATGATGAATTCTGCAGAGATTAAAATCTCCTCTTAGAGTCCAGACCTCTCACTACAGTTAAAATTTGCAACTGCTGAGCTGTTGTACTTAATGCATGTTTTGAGGCTCAGGGATATTAAAATGTAATCCCCGCCCCCAAGCTCCTAGAGTGTAATAGATACATACCGAAAGTGCTAAGGTGCTGGTTAGTGGAGGGGGACAAACTTAACCTCGGAGTTCACCTGCTTGCGATGGAGCTACGTGTGTGTGCACGTAAAGCGCTGGAATGCCTGCAGGTCCTTCGGCTGCAGGATTCGTCCCCTGCTTTGCCTCACAAGCCTCTAATGAAGATGTTCCAACACAGAAGATGTGAATTTGCTAATTGGGCCAGTTGCAAAAGCTAGTAGACCAACTGATGCTGAGTAAGGAACTTCTGAAAGTTTTTCGGGTTTTGGGGTTTTCTTTTCCCCCCCCCAGTAGGGAGGGAGCGGGGAAGGGAGTAGCAGAGCCTAGACAGGGAACTTACTTCCCCGTGAATAATGCAACAATTGCAGCATCTTCAGCACTGAAGTAGCTACTTGGAAACCTATAGTGTTGCTCTCACCCCAGACAAAGCAATTTCCTGTGCCGAGGCGTAAGGCTAGTTGGTTTTCGCGGTGTGCTGACAGCAGGGCACTGCGTGTGAGAAGCTGAGCTGAACAGATGCACTTTGTGCTGGCTGGCTGGCTGCCTACCGCTTAGGAGGAACAGTAATTGTGGGCCATTATCCCAACTGTGGATCTGAGTAGCAGAAACTCCTTTTTCAGCTGGAGAGAGACCTGTGCTGAGGAGCTGAGTGAAGTGTGACTTGCCCGCAGGGAGGATGCTGAATGACTAGGTCATTCTTGGGAGTCTACCTGCTTTGTGCCTAGTGGTGTTAAATAAAGGGCCCCTGGAAGACTAACTTTTTAAAGAGAGTTGTACCATGTGTAAAAAGCCTGTGGGGTTTTATCTTTGTGTGTGCGCAGTGTCAGCCCCAAGCAAGTCTCTTGGGAGGAGGAGGCGGCGGCTGGCCCGAAACAGGTTTACCATTGACTCAGATGCCGTCTACACGAGCAGCCCTGAAAAAGAGCCCCAGCAGCCCACACACAGTGGGGACACTGACCGCTGGGTAGAGGAACAGTTTGACCTTGCTCAGTATGAGGAGCAGGAGGACATCAAGGAAACGGACATCCTCAGCGATGACGATGAGTACTGCGAGGCCATGAGAGGCGCCGTGGCCGACCGAGACCTTCGGGAGCGGCTGCAGGCAGCCTCCATCGCAAGCAGCCAGCCATGCCGGGGAGACCGCCCGCGCCCAGCCATGGACACGCACGCCTCCAGGATGACCCAGCTGAAGAAGCAGGCGGCCTTGTCCGGCATCAACGGTGACGTGGAGGGCCACAGCGAGGAGGTCATCTGGGTTAGGCGTGAAGACTTTGTCCCCAGCAGGAAGCTGAACACGGAGCTCTAAACCAGTCCCCTTCCCCGCCTGGATGCGTAGGTCTCCCCGTCCCACCCTCTATCCCTCCCTCCCGCCCCCGCACACCGCGGAGGCCTGATCCCGATAGATTGCACACTTGCACACACCATTTCGGCAGCTGAATTGGTTCGAAGCCATGTGGCCACACTTTAGGCAACTGTAAAACGCTCAAAACCTGGAACGGAATAAGCTTAAGGTCCTGTCTTACATTACCAAGGGCTTTCACACTATTTTATTTATTCTAAAATAATCAGGGGCTGAAATTAAGTATGGGGAGAATATCATCACTGGAAAACAAATTACTCTGGATGTCTTAACCTACGTGCAGCGAACTAGCTTAAACAATAGCACAACGAACAGGGGGTTTTATAGCCGTAAAACATCAGTCGTAGATTCATCTCCTTAATGACGTAACTGCCTTTTTAACGTGTACAGTTGCAGTACTCTTATTACTTTTCCCTCTTTAAATGTAAGAGAATCTACATGTATTTTAGGAATGTGTGAGCAAAGGTTTGGGATTTATGTTGTGTTAAGTCCTCTTGGTCTGTGGCTGGTCTAATTTAATGTCAATGTTGGAAGCTCTAGTTTTACATAATATTATAAAGATGCCAAACTCTCTTAAAAGAGATCCAAATTTAACACTTGAAGAAATATTTTTTTGTATTTTACCTGAGATGCAGGGGCACAAAGGGATAAGAGTTTTACAGCATTAGCGTAGCTCCACGTCTAGGATACGAGGCTAGCTTTTTGCAGAGGGTTAGGAATGGTGGTTTTATATTAAAATATGAACTGGAAACTCTTATTTAGGTATAACTTTCTTCAGGAAAAGGATTATTGTATATGTTTGAGACTGGAGTTTAGTTAGGTAATAAAAAGAATAAAATAAAATGACATGACTGAATTGTAGTGGACCAAACCGATCCATGATGTAACCTCGCTGGAGCCAGTGTAGCAATGTCACAGATCCGTTTGGTCCACTCTCTCTGGCAGAGTTTGGGCTTAGGGGACAGGGAATTCATGGCCAAAAAACTGACCTCATCCACTCTCCTACTGTGGGTGAAACTAGTGTATTTTAATTCCTTTATAAAAGCTTTTCCACTGCAATAGAGCATGAACAAGTTCTACACAAGCAAACCTCTTTAACATTTTAAATCTTTCATTTAAACATCTAAAACAGGGTAAAATGTGACTAAAATCTTGTGTTTTCTAAGTAGACTTCCAAATACGAAACACAAAATAGCACTTTTTTTTAAGATTTATATAGCTTTTCCCATTTCAGTTTCACCTATAGGAAAAAAGGAAGATTATATGAAATTTTCTTTTTTTTTGTTGGTATCTATTGATGTTTGACACATTAGTAGGTACTTTGAAAACCTGAAATTTTATAATAGCTTTAGGATTATATTTTATAAAATCCACTCTGACTATATTTTAAAACATAACAAAAATTATTCCCCCCCAAAAAATCCATCACTGTCTTTGTGTCCCAGCTAGCATTCTCCCCTGCCTCCCCCTTTCTGGTTTCTGGTGCACTATACTTGATCTTATGAAAGCTTTCTCTATTAACTTTTTGCTATCTTCTGATTTCTTTTCGTAAAAGCTTTAGAAAGGTTTCTATACCCTTTGTATTATCACATCATTGTTTTATATCATGTACCCGTCAGTTGTGTCCCAGCGTATTAGAGAAGCGGAGGTTTTAGCTGTCCTATGCTGTACCCAGCGGAATACAGTCAGCGCTGAAATACTGGAAGGCTGGTACTGGGAAGGTACCGTTGTTCTTGTACATAATGTCATGACATGTCTATGTCAAAGGTTCTTATATATTTCTTTTATAAGCTGAAAGAAGGTCTATTTTTATGTTTTTAGTTCTATGAATGGAACGTTGTAAATGCCTGTCAGAAATAAAATACTGGAAAAAAATACAAGAGAGCAGTATGTGTACGTCTGTGCTCCAAGACAGGTGCCTCTCAGTAGAGGCAAGCAAGGAAGCAAGTCCTACAGTAGATGAAGCTGTTGGGATCCTGGCTTTAATAACCTGTGGGGAGTCTCCTTAATAGCAAGGTTTCCACCCTTAGCAGTGTGTGCCCTGTATCGTGTGCGGATGTCCCCTTAAAACGGGTTCAGCCTGTCTTGGCTCTGCTTTTTGATGGGGTCTGAGCTCTGGGCTGAATAACGGCTCCTTTGGCCAGCACGTGCTGAGCTTCAGCCTGTCCCATGTGAAAGACCGGGGCAAGTTTGTTGGCCTCCCTTCTCTCCTATTGAAACCTCGTTTTTATTTCTTTATTTCCCCAATGGAAGGTTCAAGCCTGGAGCTTTGCCTGTTAGAGGATGGAAAATGAGACAGACAGGAAGATCAAATGCTAGATGCAAGTATTTGCCCACAGTGTGCCTATCTGACATGCACCTTGACACAAAATTAAGCTTTCCTTTAGTGGGATGGCTAACTTTAAAATGGCACGTTCAAGTCTGTAACTAGCAACACTGTTCCCTAAATCTGCGAAACTGCATCGACCTCTACTGAAACATGAGTGCAAAGCATGCTAATGCTTGCTTGTGTGCTCAGCAGAGAACAAATGTGAACAAGTATGAACTTCTATTTTAAATGCCACCTTTTTTTAGATGTGTTTGTCTCCCCCACAGTTTAGTTTTTACTAGCTGCTGCAATGTTTCCAGCAACTGACTTCAGCTTTCAGATTGTATACAAAGCTGAGAGAACCTGTTAAAGAACCTGTCCTACTGCAATAACATCATGCCTTGCATTAAAAAATCATGTTATGTAGCTCGTTTATCACATATCAAGCCTTGCACAGAAGGTGTGGTAGGTAGAAAGTGTAATGCTATGGAGTAATTCTTGTATTCTCACCTACCAGTCACTAGTTTAGGAAAGAGCCCTCAGGTAAGGCTCAGCTCATATTTTGCAAAGTGAGAGTTGCCATTTTCCTTATTACGTTCATAACCAGTCATGCCTGTTTCTTTTTCTATGCTGGTCACAAGGAACCTTAAGTGCATGTCTTGAAAAGAGAGAGGAAAAAAGCAGCAAATTCCAGAAGAATTCCAATTACATTGGAAGAGCTCCCCAGTCTCGCCGTGGCCAGTTGTTTGGCCAAACCCCCTCCCGATGGGGTGCTGAATTTTAGCCCAAATGTAAGGAGCGCTCTGTGGGTTGGTGTTTTGTGCAACCTGGAGCTTCCCTGGCCTGTGGGTGAGACCCTGATTCCCACCATGTTTCTTTAGGGGAGCTAGGACTACTCGTGTACAGGCAGTTTGGTTATATGCATGGATCCTGGCAGATTGTCCCTAAAAGGTGGGCTGGTGGACATTAGGGAACTGGTTTATTAGAAAACAAGGTGCTATTGCCAGAGTTGCGAGAAGAACCTTGCACAGCCCCTTGCCTTGCCTGCAGTAGAAGAAGCAGCAGTCCCACGTGGAGAGCACAGGCATCCCATAGCGTTGAGGTTTGGGAAATGCTTTTCTTAACACTACTTTTACTAGTCAGTTGGGTCTTTGTTGTCTTCTCTAGCAGACTGCTTTGCTTGCACTGGCTACAGGACAACACAGGAAATATTTTGTTTCTGAAGCTATTGTCTCTGCAAATAACATGTCAAGAATGTGACCCTGCTCCCTGCGTGTGGCTATTTTAAATGTGGCCAGATAATCGTGGCCACAGCAAACAGTTCTGCCTCTCCCCACAGCTCATGTTCCCCCTCCCGGTGTCTTCGGCTTCTCTGCAACTTGCTTTCCTTTCTTTTTAATTTTATTCTCAACAGTTGCTGAGGTACTTCTTTTTTAATCCCTTCAATTACAAGAGCTGTCGTGCATGTGGATTGAAGGCTGTCAGCGTGTCAGTGTTACTGAATGAATCCTGTCCAGCATTTTGGAAGCTTGCTGCGGCTCTGCCTTATTCTGGGGGGAAATGAGGGGAAAGAAAGCCTTTGAAAAATTGCTTCCTCTGTTTCTCTTTTCCTTCAGCCACATCCTGTTAATAATACATAGTACCTCTGCGTCCTACGTGGGCATGAGCTTGAGTAGCTTTTTGCGATAATGAAATTTTGCAGCAGCCTCAGGGCCTGGGTAAATTGTTCCCATTTTAAGCTTGACAAATGAAGGCAGGTGGAGGAGTACACACAAGGTCATGCAGCAAGCCTGTGGTACTTGTGAAAGGCCTGCAGAAGGCTGTTTAGCCATTAGTCTGGATGATGTTTCCTTTTCGGTAATGTAAAGAGGTAATTAGCCGTAGTAAGGAATCCTTTCTTGTGGCAGAGTACTAAAGTGATCAGAAAAGTCACACGGACTGCCTGGGCAGCGGAGACTTTTTTGTCCATTACGTACAGCTGGGAATACACTAATGCTGTGGTATTATCATAGAATCATAGAATCATTAAGGTTGGAAAAGACCTCTAAGATCATCACGTCCAACCGTTAACCCAACACCACCATGCCCACTAAACCATGTCCCTAAGCGGGACTCCGTCCTTGGGGGGTTTCAGGAACCGTGTGGAGAAAGCCCTGAGCAGCCTGGTCTGATCCCAGAGCTGGCCCTGCTCGGGACAGGACGTTGGACCGGAGACCTTACTGAGGGCCCTTCCTGCCTGCATTATCCTGTGATCCTATGGCTGCCCCTCCACACCTGGTCACACAGTGAGTTTCAGTTTCTTTGCTGTTCTTTTTCCAGTCAGGAACAAACTGCAAAAAGTATCATCTTGAATTTTGTATCAAAAGATGAAAATATTGCAATGAAATCAAATAGACAAACTCCCAGGAGATAAAGCTTGGTGACAGTCTTCCATAGAAAATGGCAGGAGCATAGATTTACTGTGGGGGTGGGACAACTGAAGAGGCCATAACTCATCTTCTCCTGATCCTCTCACCCCCAGTGAGAAGTGTTTGGTGCAGAGGTAGATGTATTTCCTGGGGTGCCCCAGGTCTACTAAACACAGTAAGTGGCCGAAGTGCCTGTTTGCCACTAATCCTTGGTCCTTGCTGCAAAACGTCACTAGACTTTTATCTAAATTGTGTTTGGGTATACAAAATCATGTTTTCTACTCCTCTGTCTTCTCCCAGTTGAAGCAAAATATTTGAAATGATAAAATCTCCCCGTAACCTCCTGTTTTGGCACATCAGAATTAAAGGTACTCACTCCCGCTCCTCCCAGAGCCCTGTAGGT